ATTACATGAATCCTAATAATATTCACTCAGTGACTATTGTATTAAGCCAAGTAAAACTGTTTCTGTTATTCCAACTCCAGAATCATGTTTCTCATCCAGTCAGTTTAAGCTCTGAGGAAACTGAACCTCCTGACCCTGAGGTGAATCAGAGAATAAGAACCAACATTTACCGCGTCAGATGAATCCCAACAATCTGTCTGTTTCCTCTGCAGGTGAAGGCAGTGTGAGCTGATGTGGATTCAGCAGAATGGATCAGGATCAGGATGTGAATGAGAGGGTTCCTCTGCTCAGAGAGCAGAAGAGACGGAGCAGAGGTCAAAGGTGAGACCAGCGTCTCTGACTGGCTGAGCTCAGTATGGGCATCACTGCATCTTCAGCGTTTCTGTTTTTGCTTTTGTTGTTACAGTTCAGAGGACCAACATCCCATCCCAACATGTCTGACTTGGTGTTGCTCTTTCTGGTACGCTTTCAGCTTTTCTCCAGTTCATGATCATCCACTATTTATCATCTAGGAAAGATTGAATCCTCAACTGTTCATTTTGTATTGTTTTTCCAAAACTTTAAAAACTATCAGCTTAAGTACCACTCTTTATTAATCCACAACATCCTGTGAATGTATTCAGACTCATATAAATGTCCCCAACATTTCTGAAATATCACAATGAGAGCTTAGAAAGAGAAACTAGAGAAAACGCAGTTCTGTGTGAAACAGCAGTGTGAATGCTGATCTGTTGAATGAATGAAAACAGAAAGATCATCAAGAAAATGGAAAAAGTGAAAAATTACCAAAACGTAGAAAAATGTGCATTTCCTGCAAAAATGCAGTATATATACAAAACTAATACAAACAAAATTAAGAATAGCAAATTTCATAGTAAGGGCAAATTCACAGCAAAACAGCTGGTCAGTTGTTGAAAATAAAAATAAACAGAAATTTCACCACAACTACAGACAATGTTAACCTGCAAACTTTTCCCTTTTTGTTCGTGGATATATTTTTCTCGCAGCACACAGAGACCAGACTCACCTGAAGCCCAGCCTGTAACTGGACCAGAGACGGTGTCAGAATACGAACCCATCTCTGGATCAGAAACCATTTCAGTTTATGAACCAGAACCAGAACCTGAGAATCTATCAGGATATGGACTCAACTCTGAACCTGAACCTCCATCTGAGGCCTTATCAGGATGTGGATCAGAACTGGAACCAGAACCTGACACCCTGTTAGGATTTGAAACAAAATCTGAACTTGTATCCGGATCAGAAACCAAATCAGTTTATGAACCTGAATCAGTACCAGTACCTGGATCTGAGACTCTGGTCAGATTTGAACCTTTACCTCAGACCATCGCTGAACCTCCAGAGGATTCTGGACCTGAAGATGATCGCTCTGCCAATCAAAGGTAAGTTTGTCTTATATTCCTCATATGTCTGAAATTTCATGGTGAGAGCTGAGAAATGGGAATAATTAATGTAAACTAGGGTGCATTTCATACTAACTACAGTTGTTGACCTGAAAACATTTACCTTTTCTTTTTAACCATGTTTTTCTAGCAGCACACAGAAACCAGACTTCCCTGAACCTCAACCTGGACCTGAGACTGGATACGAACCCAACGCTGACCTTTTGTCTGGATCAGAAACCAAATCAGTTAATGAACCTGGATCAGTACCAGATGCTGAGGAAACATCAGGGTTTGAACCCAAGTCTGAACCTGACCCTCCATCTGAGACCTTATCAGGATCTGGATCAGAGCTGGAACCAGAACCTGAGACCCTGCTGGGATCTGAACCTTTACTTCATCCTCAGACCGTCTCTGAACCTCCAGAGGATTCTGGACCTGAAGATGATCAGTCTACCAATCAAAGGTATGTTTCTGATATATCAGAACGTCGAACACATTTCTGAAAACATTTATTTTCTTGCACACTTTTCCAGCCTCACACAGGAACCAGAGACACAATCAGAATACAAACCCAACTCTGGAGCTGGATCAGAAACCAAATCAGTTTATGAACCTGAATCAGTACCAGTACCTGGATCTGAGACTCTGGTCAGATTTGAACCTTTACCTCAGACCATCGCTGAACCTCCAGAGTTTCCTGAACCTGAAGATAATCGCTCTGCTAATCAAAGGTAAGTTTGTCTTATATTCCTCATATGTCTGAAATTTCATGGTGAGAGCTGAGAAAGGGAAATGATTAGTTTAATAAAAACATAACTGCAGCTGATAACCCTAAAACATTTCCCCTTTTTCTTAAATATATTTTTACAGTAGCATTCCAGACTCCCCTGAACCTCAGCCTGAACCAGAGACGGTGTCCGAATACAAACCCAACTCTGAACTGGTACCTGGGTCAGAAACCAAATCAGTTTATGAACCTGGATCAGTACCAGATGCTGAGGCACCATCTGGGTTTGAACCCAAGTCTGAACCTGGACCTCCATCTGAGACTTTATCAGGATGTGGATCTGGATCAAAGCTGGGACCAGAACCTGACACCCTGCTGGGATCTGAACCTTTACCTCATCATCAGAGCATCTCTGAACCTCCAGAGGATTCTGGACCTGAAGATGATCAGTCTACTAATCAGAGGTACGTTTCTGTTATGGCCCCTATGTGGCTGAAACATCATGCGGTCAGACTGGATGAAGTTGGTGAGGTTGAAGCAACACTCTGGAGTTGGAGACATTGACGGAGCCCAGAGAAAAGGGCTTTCATTTGGCTTCAAGGTTATTCAATGGACAACCTGGAAACGTAAAGCAGGCTCCTTCCTAGATGATGGCAGATTTGTGAACCATGAGAACTGGATAGAGGGCTGCAGGGTTATCATGGTTGATATGGCTCCATATTGTTTGGAGCCATTAGTGCTGACTGATTTTATTTTTGGTGCAAACTATCTGATATTTGGAGCTGTCATCAAACCTTTCTATTTCTTTGCAATGTTTAAATTCCCAGAACAGTTATTGTGACCTCTGAAAAATACCAACAACTGATCCACACATTAGGAAATGATGATGCTTTAAGTTAAATGTCATCTTTGGGGCCTGTTAGGTCCCTGTCTGACAGGTGTGAGAGTCTGACACCGGTCCTTGCCTATAGAGTTGGACTCTGCCAACGTTACCATTTGTCACTGATTCTGTTCATAACCTATAAGGACAGAATACCCAGGTGATCCATTTTGGTGACTTTAGGATCACGTCTCTGCTCTTTGCAGGGATTTTGCTCACGAATGAGGGAAAAATGGAGATCGACAGGCGAATTGGTTGTAATGGAAAAAATTACTTTAGCAAGAGTCTGGATAAGAAGAAATAAGAAATGTATTAAAACATGTCAAGCTGAGAACAGTAATACAGAGTCAAGGGGTCTGTCAAGTCTGCTCTGACCAACAGTGGATCTGGTTTCCTTTTATAGGTTCTGGTCAGAGAAGAGAAACTTGATTGGACTAGAGGTGTGACTCCCTGATTGTTATGTACCAGGGACTCTGTGGAGCCCAACACAGATGGTCTGGTCATTTGTCTATTGTTAAGGATAGGGGTTTGTTTTTTATGCTAAAGAAGGCAGATAAGTTCTTGGTTGGGGAAGAAACAATCTCCAGGATCAAGGACCTCTCCCTTGCTGTTGTAGAGGTCAATATGAGACCAGCTTGACCAATTTCATAATAAGATTATGCAGATAACCGAAGGCAGAAGAGGGATGAGGAGCACATTTTAAAATTTTCCGTTACATGGTGCAGCGTCTGCAGTGAAGCGGGCGCTGTATTGATCTAAAATGGTGAAGAAAGAGCTGAGTCCAAAGGCAAACCTCCCATCTACGTTCCTACCCTCATCTAAGGTCATGAGCTTTGGGTAATGGCTGAAAGAACGAGGCCACAGATACTGGCAACCAAAATGAGTTTCCACCAGAGGGTGTCTGGGTTCTCCCTGAGAGATAGAAACTCGGTCATTTGGCAGACGCAGAGGAAAACCCAGGACACACTGGAGGGATGATGTTCCACTGCTGGGAATGTCTTATGGTCTGGAGGAGATGGTCCAGGGAAGTCTGGGCCTCTGGTTAGACTGCTGCCTCAGTGACTCGACCCATACAAAGCAACATTTTACATTACATCTGTATATTTTTATATTTTCATTATAAATTGTGATTTTATATCAGAAACTGTTTTCTGTCATGAAATTGAAGTATATGTCTGTATCATAGGGTTCTACCATTTCATATCTGTAACGCATAAATTGATCTTTACAGATAGGAATAACACATTTAATGTCATTTTACTGATTAGAAAAAATATTAAATAAAAGTGGTATTGAGGTAATTTTATTCAAATGACCTTCAAATGAGTGAAATAATTGATATTTGAAAAACTTACAATTAATTCTGTAGGGTTTTTTTCCCCTTGCAGTGATGAAACGTGAAGATGGATCCATCTGAAGCAGATGGGTTGGACTCTACATCACAAAGGGAGAAACAGGAGAGGTCAACGATGAACATGAGGTCAGACAGATTGAAACAGCATCCAGGAAACCATTCAGACCAGAAACAACAATCAGAGATCAACCAGTCAGAACATTGATGACAAAGGGAGTGGCTGGTATTGGGGAAATAAAAACACCAGAACATCCAGTTCATATTTCCATTCACCTTCAGAGAGCTGAATGTGCTGGAACGGGAAAAGTTCAGCTTGGTGGGACTGATTCATCACTTCTTCACTGAAACCAAAGGAATCTGCAGCTTTGAACACTTCCAGGTTCTGTTCATCTTTGATGGCTTGGATGAGAGTCGACTTCCTCTGGACTTCCACAACAAGGAGATCCTGACTGAGGCTACAGAGTCCAGCTCAGTGGATGTTCTGCTGACAAACCTGACTTTCTGACTAAAACCAGGAAGATAGAGAACATCACCCAGTTCTAATGTCCTCCCACCCAAAGAATAGACTTTTAAATACTTATTTCCTATTGATTTAAAATAGTTTATTTCGATCCAGATAATATTGTACAAACATAAAACAGTGCACAGTATGAATGATATATATTCAGGAGTGCAGTTAATGCAACGTGATGATTAAAGAAATTCTAATGAGATGAGATATTTGATCAGACGTTTTTCTGACAACAGGAAGTTAAAGTTTTATTTTTGGCTGTAATGTTTGATCTGGATCTTGTTCCGTTCGTCTGATCCATCTTCATCTGAATGATAAAGAGTCTTTACTGTTTAAGGAGTGTATTTCTTAGCAGTCAAAAATAACCCGGTGTAAAGTCTTTGTGGTCTTACAGCAGTCTGAGCATGCTCAGTTTGGAGAACCAGGAGGAAGATTATTTCACTAAAACAACTAAAGGATAAAATATTTTAATTTATCCTTAGAATCAGATGAATGTTTCTGATGGAATCAGTTTCCCATTAAAGTGATGTTTACTTTCTGCTTCACCTGTTAATAACCAATAGGATGACCAACAGTACCCAATAAGTAACATATATGCTTGAAATACAACAAAACTAACTTACAAGTAACTTTTCAGCAAAATATAAGAGCTTGTGTGAGTCAATGATGTTAATATTGTTAAAAATACAGGCTGCACATGACAAAAACATGACTATCAGGTTAATTGGCCTCTAAACTCCCTAGGTGTGTTGTGTGTCCTGCGACAGACTGGCGATCTGTCCAGGTGACCCCGCCTCTCGCCCAGAACGTTATCTGGAGAGGCACCAGCACCTCCTGACCCTACAAGGGTCAAGAGTGTACAGAAAATGGATGGATGGGTGTTAAAAGTACTAGTTCCCAGGGAGATTATGTGATTTATAATGTGGGAAAAATGTCTTAACTGAAATAATCTGCCTATTAGAACTATTAGTTTTTATCAATACTTAAGAATAATTGACTTTATTTGTACGTTCATTTTGTCTTATTCAAAATATTTGGACAAGAAACTACATTAAGATATTGAGTAAGGTTTTGTTATTTTGCAGCGTACTGATAAATTTAAATAATAGTCTGGCATTTCTGAAAGAAGTGGAGAAAGTTCGACATGCTACTCTGAATTAAACATGCAGTTAAATTGATTTGATGCAGATTAAAGAGCTCACATGGTGAAACCTGAAGGTAAAACCACAGTCATCGTTTTACAGTCTGAACTTTCAACCATCCATGAAAATTCCTGACAAATCGACCAACTGATCAGATTCTGCGTGTTGCAGAGCAGCAGGTCTCTGCAGGGAGACGCAGCGTCTCTCCCTCACCACCAGGGGGCAGCCTGAACATGGCTCTGAATCCAGTCCAGGTATTTCTCCACCCGGGTGTAGACGCCGTACACCCTCTGGCTGCCGCAGTCCTCGGGTCCGGCCCAGGACACCAGGCCGAACACGGCCCACCTCCGCCCCGCCTGCATCACGAATGCCCCCCCGCTGTCCCCCAGGCAGGTGTCCCGCCCGCCCTGGAAGAAACCCGCGCAAAACATGTTGTCTGTGATGTTGTAGCGGACGGAGCGGGAAGCGTAGCTGGCCTGGCATTCATCCTGAGGGACCACTGGCAGCTTCACGTACTGCAAGAGGTCAGAGGTCAGTGGGGACGAGTTGGAGGAAGCGTTGGAGATCCCCCAACCAGCAACTAGACCCAGAGAGTTGGGGAGGAGGGAGGACGGACGGTCCTGGTGGAGACAGAAGAAAAGAAGAGATCACATCATCAACCAGGAGGAGCAGCGGTGGAAAACATCATCTGTGTTTTAGTCTGCCTAGTCTGACAGACTAATGTCTTCAAATGAAGACATTTGCACGTCTTCATTTGAAGACGTGCAAATGTGTAAATGTTATAGGATTGTGTTTACATGTATAGGTTTTTACTCTTTTAAGTTTTTATTATTTTAGTCAGACTTCTTAATGAGCTAATGTGTTAAAATGTGTTAGACCAGAGGTTGAAACAGAAGGTTCCTGTCTTTTATCTATGCACATATATGTAATCTATCTATCCAATTTCAGTCCAGTTAGCACCTGCAGCAGCAGCATTAGCCACACTGAGGGGCTCATTTTTACCATGATGCTCAGCTACGGTGGCTCGTAAGTTCAAAAAGGTATTTGTTTCCATGTTGGTTCGGATTAAGACCGGTCTGTAGGTTTGCAAGCAGCTCAGAAAGCGGGTCTGGGTCCAACCGAACAGTTCTGCAGGAGTGCTTTCACATCTGGAGAAAAGATGTGGACTAACAGGGGAAACAAACTCCGGTCTGTTTAAAGCGGACCAAATGTATCAGGTGTGAATGCTAATCGAACCAAAAAAGTGAACTCCGCCTACAAACCTCCGTCTGGTTTCGGTTGAAGTGAACTCTGGTTCGGTTCGAGTGGATATGTGAACAGCAAGCGGACCAGAGACCACTCCAAAAGCAGGAAGCGGACTACAGCGCAGGGCATTATGGGTAAATGCAACCAAAACAAATGTGCTAGCCTGGCGCTAGCAGAAAAAATGAGTTGTGGTCTTTAGCCAAAGCTCCAAGATGAAATCTTCCAACCACCTCCATTTTGTTTCCGTTTGGTGAAGAAGGACGTTGCTCTCAGTGTCTTCAGATGTTTTTGTGCCGTTTCCTTCACTGGTTCTTGGTGCAGCGCCCTCACAGGCCAGGAGGGGAACAGGTTACTCAAAGGGTTTGGTTGGTTTCACTCGCAACTCTGGTTCCAAATCAAGCTGAATCTACCGGAGTGTCGGGAGGGAAAACAGCCTTAGTGTCTCTTTGTGTCCCTCCATGTTTCACTCACCCTTAATGTTTAGTGTCCCCGTCCTGTCTCTCAGTAACCCCATGTCCGTCTCTCCAGCTGTCTTCAACAACCTGAAACCTGGATTCTCCTGCTCACCTGTCGGTGAGCCGGTGGCAGACAGACGGGCCGGACCAGCCGGTTAAACTCCGCCGCCTCGCTCAGTCTCAGCAGGGCGATGTCGTTGTTGTAGTTGTCGGGCTGAAAGTCTGGATGGAGGACAATCTGATCGACGGAGCGACCGGTGGACGTCTGTTTGTCTCTGAGGTTGTGGAGCCCGAGGAACACCTGAGGGACAGAAAGTCCTGACTGAGACACGAAGACAGCATGAACCTCACATTCAGGGACAAACATCCACCTTCACGTGATGCGGGACCACCGGGATGACGGTGGCGTCCCTCCTCTGGGACCGCAAGACGTGGGCGGCGGTCAGGATCCAGGACTGAGACAGCAGGGCCCCGGAGCCAAACCAGCGGTCCTCAGGGACCCGGGACAGGTCCTCCACACTGAGCAGAACCTGCCAGGGGAAGAAACCGGGCTCAGAGCTCCGACCGCCCACAATCCGCTTCACCTGGTGGGGGAGAGGGCGAGAAGGCAGGCCGCAGGCTGGAGGACATAAAAACAACGGGCATGAAAACAGACAAAAAGGTAAAGAAACAAGTAAACAGAAAATAAAATAAATGAGGGAACATTCAGGTAAACAGATAAACAGATACGGTAAGCAGAGAGAGAAAAAAACAGACAGGTAACGCAAACAGGCAGACAGATAAAAAAAAAGTAAAAGTAAATACTCAGTAAATCAGAATATTAATGAGTTCATGTATTTCAGTAACTCAGCTCACATCTAAAACACATTATATACATTAGTTTTTATTTCTGTCAGCAGCTGATGAAAACTAAATGTGGGTCTGATATGTTTTTTATCTTCAGATTAATGGAGGAGTCGTACCTGGCAGACAGACAGGAAGTTCAGTTCCTCCGTCAGCATCCACCCACTCACCTGCAGGGCCACACCTGAACGAAGCTGCAGCACAGAAACCGACTCAAGCTTCATGATCTTTGGTTTACATGATCAATAAATCAGATCTTTGGTTTGTTTAGACATAAAAATGAAATAAACAAACAGAAATGAAAAATAATCACTAATTAAACTAAATATTAAAATCTTAATTGACCCAATGACATCATCAGCATCTTACTGTTGCTCAGCTGGACGCCGTCCTCCACGCAGACGTAACGAAGCGTCGCTCCAAACAGCGTGCTGTTGTCATGGCGACCAAACATCACAACAGCTCCATCAACCTTCTTAGGAATCCCACAATCCAACACTGCAACAGACGTGAGTCAGCGACCAATCAGCTTCCAGGACGGTCAATCAACAGGAATGTAGCCCAGGTGTTAAAGGGACAGTCCTGGTTTTTAAGGTGGGGGTTCTGCGGGGTGTTTATCAGCAGTCAGTATCTTACCTGCAGCAGACAGGAGCTTAAGAAAACGTCGGACTCCTGAAGGTTCCTGAGGATGTCAATGAATGTTTTTATGGGTTTTATGCATCCACTTCATTTCATTTGGTAGTTTTCCACGTCCCGCAAACACTTTAAATATTTTCTGTTAACGTCTCCGTCACCTTTTTTAGTTTTAGTTTATTTAACAGTTGTTGTTTTTTTTTACATAAATACTCCAGATGATGAAGGAAGATCTGGAACCTTTAATCTTTAACTTTCTCTCAGTTACATGTCTTAGATAAAATTATCTCAGTAATACTTCAGATTTTACACATTTCAGTACAACAGATATATTCAAATACAGTAAGAAAAGTTACATTCTGTGTAACTCCTAATTGTAACAACGAACAGAAACATAATCATTTTTACTTCATGTTTGTTTTTTCTCTCAGTATATGTATGCAATGCTTTTTAATTATGTTTGCTTAAATAAATCAAGAATGAAATGAAATGCCTCAGATTGCTCTTCATCAGTGGGGGTTTCAGATTGCTTAAAGTTGAATCTGGTGCCTCCTGGTGGCAGCTGAAGGGAACTGCATCTGATCAATTTTATGGCTGGGAGCTTCAGATGATCACCAGATTGAGTTCTTTGTTTATTACTTATTTAAGCTGCTCTTAGTTGTAATGACTCTAGAAACAAAAATAGATACTACTTCTTTTTCGGTAGAGATAAAATTCTGCCCTGGATTGATTATTTATGTCTGCAGTCATATCTCCTTCAGAAAAAGTTGAAAAATCTTTGTTGGAAACTTTCTGGTGAACCCACTTTACAATTTACTGTTCACAGTTCACTATTTGCACATTTTTCTATGGAGCATAACTCTTTTTTTGGAGAATCCAAAAAACCACCTCAAGCCACAAGCCTCTAAAAAGCAAAAACTTTATTGCAAAATTGAGGAAGTTATTTTGTCATTTCCGTCAATCTTTTCTAGTCCCATTCTTAATAAGGTGCAAAAAAAAAAACGTTGATGAAAATGGATTTTGGCAAATTGTCCCAACCGTGCAACACCGGAGATCTACTGTTTAAAAACAAAATCTCCTTTTTTCCAAACAACAGCACCCCCTGCTGGTGTCAGCTGGTGAAGCAAATTACTACTTAGGAGCCTGAAGTTTGGTCCATAAAATGTTGGAAACAATGCAGCTTCACATTAACGTAATAATCTGCAATGAATAAATCTGAATGTGTAAAACAAGATGACAGATAAAGAAACTGGAGATCTGCTGAGTGAAACTCCAGAGTCTCCATTTTTGGACAGGAAATATGTCCGTCAGCAGCTCTGAGCTCAGATCCGAGTCTTACTGTCACAGTGAGGAGGACGGCCGCTCCATGAGCCGTCAGCCTGGCATTCCAGCTGGAGACGATCCGACGTCCCACCGTCCTGCAACACATCACAGCATGGAGCAGTGAGGCCTTTCCTGTAACCGCTGGGGCCACAACATGACCAAAAATATGATTTCTCTATTAAAAATCCTTCTTTAATGCCCAAATGCAATGGAGGGCAGTGCTAACTAAAAACGTAGCTGCACCAACCCTAAAGCACAGATCATAAACATCAGTTAAAGCTAAAAGCTACACTAACATGGTATTTAGCAAAAGTTGAAGCACTAATTATGACCATATTGATACTCACCTCAAAATAAGAGCCTTAACATAAACATCTAACTATTTGAGGAATTCCTAACAGTCAAGAACCAAAACTTCAACACAAATGTTGAACTTCTCCATGTGAGTATAATTCAAGAGATTCTTTTTTTATGCTGATTAACTAAAATAAGTAAAGATAATCAAATTTAATCCAATGGGTCAGACAAAACGAGAGACTCTCTCCTGTGTTTTCTGCTCTAACCTGTGTAGACCAATCAGAGCCTCTCTGCTGCTCCCAGTTCAGTCACTGGTTCCAGTTCCCAGCAGCAGATCGGAGCCTCACCTGGACCAGGATGAACCCCGGCTGACAGCTGAACACCACATGGTCCCTGAAGGTGTATTCTGATTGGATCGGAACCATCACTGCATTGGGCGCAGCCTCAGGTACTGGACACTGACTTCCTGCAATTTCAAAATAAAAGCCTAATTTCTCTCTCCACATCAGCCCTGTAGCCCCGCCCCCTGTGTGGTCTCACCTGTGGCGGAGTAGCTCAGCCTCCAGCCGAGGTTTTCTCCAGAATCATCGCTGTGGAATTGGATGGAGACGATGTTGCTGTCGGTCCGGATGATTCCTGGAGAACGATCGCCACAGAACGGGCCGAACTCTCTGCTTCCTGCTTGGATCTGACACACACACACACACACACACACACACACGCTCCGTCATCACCTCGGCGTGTGTGAACCAGGTTCTTATAGCCTTGTGGAGACATTTCCTTGTCCCCATGAGGGGAAATGCTGTTTGTGGGTCAGGGGTTAGCTTCAGGGCTAAGGTGTGCATTGAGTTTTGGTTAGCGTTAGGGTCAGAGTCGGGTTAGGATGTAGAAAATGAGTGGAAGTCAATGGAAAGTCCCCACAAAGACAGCAATGCAAACATGTGTGTTTTTTGTCTAATTCAGTTTTAATAAGCTTTTAGAGTGTTTGCTGGTTTTTATTAATTATTACTTTAAATATTTAGTTTTTATTAACATTTTATACTTTTATCTTTTTGAATTCTGCACCTAAAATGAACCAAAGTAATGTGATTATGAATACATGAAATGGTTAATGAACACTCAACAGAAGAAACCATTTTCAGAAAATGTATCCAATTATTCTTGAATAACCAGCTGACTGGAGTTTCCTCCCAACTTTACCATTTTGCGGATTAGCATAGCGTAGCTGCCAGGAGGAGCATGGAGTACCGCGATTTACCAACAGCTGACGTAAAAAATCTATTTCACATCAGTTTGAAAAGCTAATAAATAGATTCATGAACACAGAAACAAAGGATATCGTTTCAGTATGTTTTAATTAGTTTTATAAACACATGATATAGTTCCAATTAGTTTGAGTTTTTCCTAATTAATTACCGTGTTTATTTATTTCAGTTAATGAAAATGTTTTCTCGGTTTCAGTTCTTGTTAGTTTTGGTTAGCTATGGTAACCCGGGTGTGTTTGTCCCACCTTCAGGTGGTCGTAGGGGCAGCTGATGTCTGGGTGGCTCTCCACGTCAAAGCGGGGGTCAAAGTTCATCTGGACCCTGAACCCGGCCTCCAGCTCGATGCGGTACCAGCAGTCAGAGCTCTTCGGATACGGAGCCGGAAAGTTAACGCTGCTCAGAACGCCGGAGCGTTCCCTGAACACAACACCGCTGCAGTCCACTGGACACACACACACACACACACACACACACACACACACACACACACACACACACACACACACACACTGAGCTTCCTCCTCCACACTCAAACATCTTCATCATGTAAACATTTCCACCAATCAGCAGCTGTTATCAGCCACACTGAGGCCCCTGAGGCCCCTGATGCTTTGGTGTCAGTGAAATCAACTGAATATTTACTGGTTATAATGGTTTAACTGGTTGAAAACCAGCTGACTTGTTTCCTGAGTTATGAATGATCAGAGTTAATTTAACTCTGTTGTTCTGCTGGTTTCAGGACTGAATCAGAGACACCAACACTCACTGCACTGCAAAAACACTAAATCTTACCAATAACTTTGTCTCATTTCTAGTGCAAATATCTTCGTACACTTTAAGTAAGACAAAACTCACTTACCAGTAACTTTTCAGGAAAGAATAGGAGCTTATTTTGAGTCAATAATTTATTAATATTGATGAAAAAGTTCCAGTTCCATTGGCAGATTATTTAACTTGTAATATTGGAAAATGTCTTGTTATGAAGGTGGGCCTCCAGGGGGCGCCGACACACTCACCTCTGCAGGTGTGGTTGTCTGTGTGCAGCTGGTAACCATAGCGACAGGAGCAGTAGTATCCCCCGATGAAATTGTGGCAGAAATGATCGCAGAGCGGATCCTCGTCTCCGGGTTCGCTGCACTCGTCTATATCTGCAGAAGAAGAAGAAAGGTCAGAGTTCAGGCTCTGGTGTGCAGCAGGAGGAGGCCCGTCCAGGTGCTGCTACCTCACCATTCAGAAAATATCTCAGTTTCAATATCAGAAATTCATGATTTTAATCATGGAAAATTATGTAATTTCTTGACTTTTGGACTTCAGACAGGACTGAGTTTTTTGTTTGTGAAGATGTGAAACTAATGTAGAAAATCTCTGAGGTTTTGGTGGAAATTTTCTCCTCTGTGGCCAAAGAATTTTATTTTGATCTAAAATGACCATAAGACTGGGAAAATCAGAAAATCACCACTAACTAACATGTTAGCAGTGCTAACCCCAAAGCACTAATTATATATCAGCTACACTGATGCTAACGCGCTGTATTTAGCTTAAGCTAACGCTAAAGCACTAGTCATAAACATAGTCTTTAGTGGAAGCTAATGCTAAAGTGCTTAATTCAACCTTGTGTCACAAGGAGGAGGCTCTCAAAACAATCCATATGTAACCAATTTGTTTTAACAGCTTTGGTTCTTTAATGTCAGTGTTGTATCTAAATGGTATAAATCACCATCTAAAACTGGTCTGAACATGTCAGGGTTCATCGCCGCTTTCAGACGCTGCTGCATGTTTTTATGTTAATCCGACATGCTAACCATCGGGTTCTGTTCCTGAATCAGAACTTCAGGAACCGACAGCTTGACTGGGTTTCCTCACCCACTGCGCTATAATGAGCCACGAATCCAGAGAACCGCTCCTCGTTGGAGAAGTCCGACACAAACTGGATGCTGAGGGTGTTTCTGGGGGAGGTGATGACCCGCTGGGCCGGTACCGCCTCGGTGTCCGTCTCCTCCTTCCCACAGAACAAAGCCAGCGCCTCTCCGTCCGCCTCCACCTGCACAACAACGCAGCAGGTCAGAGAAACTATGTCAGACTGAAGAACCAGAGATCTGGATCAGAACCACAACATTCTGACTCAAAGTAATCTGAAGTCAGAACAAAGTGTAACATCAGCAGCTTCCATCAGGCCTCAAACGGGTCAAACTGGAACCATTAACCTCCCAGAGATCTGGGTCCATCAGGGCTCAGTCCAAACTGGGGAGAGAAAACAGACCAGCAGCTCTGTTTACATTCAGCTGCTGTTTATCTGCCTCCGAGACTGGGAGGGTCAACGGACCGCAGGGCGCCGATACACACCGACACACACTCCGATAATCCTAGCATCTGCAGCAACACACACCTCAGACTCAGAGCAGCAACAGTAAACCCTCTCACACCAGTACACACCAAGATAATCCAGTATATTTCAGCGCAAACCAGAACAAACTAATAAAAACTTGTATAAAACCTGGGTGATGAGCATAAACCAGTGAAAACTAGTACAAAACCAGTGTAAACTAGTATCAACCAGTTTAAAACCATTATAAAAAGACACAAACCAGCAAAAAAAAGAATATAATTCAAGTTCAAACCAGTATAAAACCAGTGAAAACCAGTACCAAACAGTATCAACCAGTATAAAACCAGCTGGGTCCACCCAGGCCTTTTGGGCCTCTGATTTGTTGCCATGGAGATTAAATTCTTCCTCAAACATGCATGAAGGAGTCAAAGCAACACTCCAGGTTTGTTTTTGATGATAACATCATAACATAAAGCTCAAAAAAGTTGATTTTACATAATAAACACATCTTCAGCTGGGGGCGGCCATCTTTACTATAATCAGACCGCTGCTGGGCAGCAGCCATCTTTACTCCCATAACCAGAGCGGTGCTGGGTGGCGGCCATCTTTACTTCCATAAACAGAGTGCTGATGGGTGGCGGCCATCTTTATTCCCATAAACAGAGCGCTGCTGGGTGGCGGCCATCTTTATTCCCATAACCAGAGCGCTGCTGGGTGGCGGCCATCTTTATTCCCATAACTAGAGTGCTGCTGGGTGGTGGCCATCTTTATTCCCATAACCAGAGCGCTGCTGGGTGGCGGCCATCTTTATTCCCATAACCAGAGTGCTGCTGGGCGGCAGCTACGTTCTTCTTCTTCATGTGGGTCGCTTTGGAGTCACAAACTGTTCCCAGAAGTCTGACTGCAGCTACATTTAAGGATATTTAACTTGGTTCCCATTCAGACTCTGGAAGGCAGCCGGATCCAGGACGCTCCCTGATCCAGTTCCGGGTCTTCCTAGCCTACCTTGACGAAGTCGTACTCGCACAGGTAGGACGGCTCCAGGTCAAAGTGTCTGAAGAACAATGTGATCCGGAATCCGTCCGGAACGCTGATGGTCCAGTTCCGCCTGGTGTCTGTGGGATACGGGTCAGGAAAGTTTGGAGACTCCAGGCTGCCGTACATCTCCGACCGGAGCTGAGCGCCGCAACCGAACCGGACCAGCAGAGAGAGGAGGAAAACCCTGAGGCACAGAGACAACCGGATCAGAACCAACCAGACCAGACCGGACCAGAACTGAACAGAGGGATGGGCATTTATCACATCATATTGTTTACCATTTATTGTGAAAATACTTCAGATTTACCAATGTCTTGATAAAATTTTATTAATAATATATTTTTTAAATGACATTATCAGAAATGTTATTTTTACCATTTTCTCCATTTCGTTCCAATAACTCAAATTTAGTTAATCTGGGTTATTTAAATCCCACTTCTTTAAGTAAGTGGCCTGTTGAAGCTGATTCCAAATCACAGCGTTTTTCAAGAGCAGTATTTCTTTTTTCTGTCGTGTTCACAGCCATATTTACCTAAAACAGATGGAATAAATAGTTTTTCATCATAATTTTTAGCATTATAACAACAATCCCACAAAATATTGTGATGAAATTCTAATCCCATATCACCCGCTCGTACAGGGACGTCTGGATCACAATTGGATCCGATCTATCCGTATTCCTAAAAGAATCATTCATGGGTCGGGCACCAAAAGCGGCTCCAGCTGCAGCCCAGGGCCCAAATGGTTCTGAATCCGGCCCTGCTCATGTTTTAACCCAGAGACATGTTCTGATGACCCGGTTCTGTGAGTCTCCGGATCAATTCATCTGTTCTCTGATCAACTAGAACCTTCTCACTCAGACTCCATCTGAAAGTCCAAGTTTGTTTTCTGATCAATAAATGATCATCTGATCAGAACTGCTGCTACTGCAGATCATCGATCAATAGGAAACTCACCTCATGATGAAGGACTAAAGTTCTGCTGCTGCGGCTCCGTCTGTCCGGACCGAATCGGACCTGCTGGAGAGGTGTAGCTCTGAAACGGTCACGTGATAAATGCAGGCAGATTCAATAAGTGACGTAACAGCTCCCCCTGCTGGCCGAATGCAGAGACGTCACGGCTCAGGGGTTCTGGTTCTGATCACCTGGAGTTCAGAACCAGAACCGTGTAAAGTTCTGGTTTCGAACTGATGACTTTTGACCCCATAAAGGGTCAAAGGTTGACTGTCATAATTGCAGAAAAGAGCCGTTAGTCGTATGTGGAAGTGGAAACTGAGATCACACAAACTGAACATTTATGCAATCTAATTGAAACTTTATGAATTGATCAGAACAATATTTTAAAACTTGTGCAGAAAGTGCATAAAAACTTTTAAAACAATATTAAAAATTTATAAAGAGAGAAAACAAAACAACGTAAAAAACTTTAAAAAAAACAGGATGATGCATTTTATGTAAATGTGTCAGTTTATAGGATGATATTGACAATGAGATAAAATAATCTAAATCTCTTCAAACCGCAAACAGCCGTTAAATACAGAAAACAAATGTTCTGGCGCCCCCTCTCGGCGCCCCCATGTATCGCATATCGTTAATACTCACTTTTTGCGCCACTGGTTACAGTTCCCTTCATCATCATCATCATCACCATCATAAAAGGTTCACTAATCGGAACCAGATTCCTGAAGGCTCCATACAACCAGCGGTCCAAAGTTCGGTTCTGATGAGGCTGAAAGAGCGGAAGTCCGTATAAGGTCAGGACCGGGACAGTGAGCCATCTGTCAGACTTTACGGGACAGCTCTGACCCCTCCGCCGCTCCGGAGGTAATTGGACCCGCTGTTGCCATGGTGACGGCGGAGAGGAGGTGTCATCCGATCTGGTCCAGTTAAAGTTCTGATGGACTACCGGTTCTGTCGGGATAGTCCTGGGTGCTGTTGGTCCCTGCGGTTCAGTTCGGGTTGATGGAGTCCCCCCCACCCTGATCTGGACTCCTCCTCTTCCTCCTCTTCCTCCGCCATCACCATGCCGAACCGACAGAAGCAGGTTCTGTTCTGCTCCGCGGGCCTCCTGAGCCTCTGCTGCGCCCTCTCGGCTGCCGTCGTCACCGGGCTGCCCTACTGGCTCCGCGGGGTCGTGCTCTGCCGAACCGGAGCCGAGCTCGTCAACGCCACCGGAGCCGAACTGGACCAGTTTCTGGGGGAGCTGAGCTACGGGCTGTTCCACGGGGAGAGGGTGAAGCAGTGCGGCCTGGGGGGCAGACCGTCCCGGTTCTCATGTGAGTCCTACCGGGGGTCCACGGGTCGGAACCGGAGGGTCCGTTTAGATGGTGTAAAGAACTTAACAGAAACTTGGATCCCAGGTTTTATAAAATAAGCACCAATGTTGATTCTAACATGAAAATTAAGGAGTTCCGTTTGTAAAGTTACAGTCAAAAATAAACAGCAATAATCTGGATTATTTAGTCTGTTATAAGAAAAATGAGTTAATTTCTCAAAGTCGCATTTTTACAATTATTAATTTTTAAATTTCACAAACTAAATCACGAATATTCAGTTCCGAACTAGACATTTTATCTGCAACTAAATATTTAGACTTATTTTAAAGTTAGTCTAATCTAAATATTTGGTTCTAAAATAAGTATTTGGTTAAGGCTAATTATTTAACTTGAATTTAAATATTTAGTTCCAAACTAAATATTTGGTGAAATTAAATTGAACATGTTAAAATAATTAACTTAAAGCTAAATATTCAGCATCAACTGAAGTATTTAAATCCAAATTTACTTGCAAAATAAAATAAAATATTTAAATTGAATCTAGTTATTTAATTAGATAACCAAATATTTAGGTTGCAATGTGCATATTTAGTTAAAACTAAATGTTTAGTTTGTTACTTAAATATGATTTAGCTTCAATTTTAATATTTATTTCCAAACGTCCTAAATCCAAACTGGCTTGCTAACTAAATTTTTAGTTACCTAAATATTTAACTTGGTAATTTTAAACATTGTTTAAAACTGTGACATTTATAAACCAATAATAACGTGGTGAAAACATGAACAACGAATCCATTTATTTTCTTATTAAGCTAAATAACTTGAATTATTGCTGTTCATTTCTAACTGCGTAATTTTACAGAAAATAAAATCATCCAGAGGATCAACAGATTCCCTGGAGTTTTTTCCTCCAAACTGAAGTTCAGAAACTGGACCGAAACACCCGAACTGCTCCGCCGGTTCCGACCACAAGGTGGCGCTAAGACGCAGAACATAAAATGGATTTAACCAGCGAGATGTGAAGCTCCACCAAAACAAGTTTTATTAAAATGTTCAGTCTTTCATGTGGTTCTGACCCAGATTGAAGTTTCACCGTCACTGAAACATTCTGGTTTCCGCTCCTCTTGTTTGGTTCTGCAGAGTTCTGGTTCTGGTTCTGCTGCAGAAAACATTAACTTATTGTCTCTGAATTAAGTAGAACCTGAATCCGGACCGGTTCTGTGGAACATGATGTTCTCGCCTCTCCCTCCTCCAGACTGGACCAGAACAGAGCGGCTACTGGTCCCAGTTAATGGAGCGACCACCCGTCACTAACACGCTTTCCGGCTGAGTGGGCCGGATCGGAACCGCTCTGACAGTAATGAGGACAGTCACCGGTCCAGAAGGACGAACAGCGGGATCACGAGCGCCCACGAATATGACGTCATCATCGGAGTTTTCTCAAAACAATTAAAATCAGGGCCGCAAATTATTCATTTCTTATAGCAAATTAATAGATAAAAAGCTGCCATTTTCTCTAGAGACTTAATTTAACTAAGCCTGTTATAAAAAAAATATCCAATTAATTTTTTAAAATAAGAAAATAAACATTTTATTCCATGAAATATAATAACAGCTCTATTTTCATAAATATAATTTGATCATTTAACAAACATCAGCATGTGAAAAGTTAACCTCTGTTAGATGTTGGGCTGATCTGTTGGTTATTTATGGATTAACTGATTTATAGCTGAATAAAAAAGGTGCTTGATATAATATTTTATTCACAGAATTTGAAGCTAAAACTGCCACATAGATTTACAAAGATTTTTTTTTTCATCTAAAATGCAAAATGTTTACATTTTTTGTACAGTTTTGGTTTTACGGCTCTGACTGTTGTTCTCTCAGCTATTGGCCTTTTTTCAGTCTCAGTTCTCCAGGTAATCAACTACAAAATAAGTTGATTATTTCAATAATCAATGAATCACGATCAACTGTTTCAGCATTATCTACACTATTTACAGAATTAATCATTCTGGTCTTTTAACTCAGAGCTTCTGTGTCCATTGAGTATTGTTGATATTTAGTTTTTAGACGAGAATTTTAAAAAACTCAGCCGATTGTTCCAGTTCTATGAATTTGTAACCAGGTGTAGAAAAATATAGAAAACAGAGACAAACAAAGTTAAGCTGGAGACAAGTGGAGGAAATGCATCACTGGAGAGTAGCAGGAGGATGAGGATGTCTGGAAGGATAAACAGCTTTGGCGTGCCGGATTTGGCCCCCGCACCTTCAGTTTGACACGTTGAACTAACATCTACAATGACTCTGAAGAAACTTGAATGTCATGACATTTACTTCCCTTTGGGATAAATAAAGTATTTTTAATCAAATCATACTGTTACCATGTTGTAACCTCCATGTCTCCTCCTCCTCCAGTCTTCCCAGACCTGCTGGGTGGGATCCCGGTCGGCCTCCACGTCACCATCATCTTCCTCTGCAGCGTCGTGGTCCTCTTCTCCTCCGTGGCCTCCGGCTTCTTCTTCTTCAACGCCTTCGGCCGGCCCTACGAGACGCTGCAAGGCCCCATGGGACTTTACCTGTGGACCTGCGTCTGCTGTGAGGCCCACTCACTGCTCCACCAACAGCAGAACAACAACCGGGTTTATTTTGGGTCCTTTCCATTAAATAATTAAATCAACAACAGTAATTACATTTTTTTCAAACATATGTTTGTATCAGACAATTTTCCTGAGGAAATGTAAATATTCAGGATTGAATGAGGATTTCATTGTTAAGGGACCGACGAGGCTCCGGGGCCACACAGGAAGGAAGAAAAAAACACCAAATAGAAAAATAAAGAAAATTCATTTTTAAAATGAACAGTATTTACCTATTATTTATATTGAGACTTCTTATTTAATTATGCATTTATTTCATAATTATTGGAAACTGCAACAAAATTTTGCTCAATGTGTCCATTTTAAATGTACAGTTAAATGTCACTAAATCTGTCTAATAACACTATAATAATAATAATAATAATAATAATAATACAAAGAATTGGCCTCCCTTATTAAATCATAAATCATGTAATTAATAATTATTTTGGAAAGTTTAGAAATGTTTGGACTTTGACTGAGCCACTTCTAAAAGTCCACTTTGGTTTTTTGAGGGGTTCAGAGGCGATCTGTGCTTTGGATCATGGTCCTGCTGTGATGGTTCTACCTGCAGCTCAAAGAAGTTTCAAAACCTTAGAAACGACTTTGTGACAGAAGGACTTTATAATCTACTTATCATCTGTTTTTGAATGTCTTTAGTTTGGGCCCGTTTCCTTTTTTTTGCTAAACAAATGAACTAATAATGAAAGCCTCTGTAAGGGGGTGAACACCGGAGGAGCAAACTGAACCAAACTGCCTCCTCCAGATGCGAACACGCGCTCTAATCAAGCCTTCAGTGATTAATTATGGATCAGTCGGTCTGAGGACGATAACAGCAGCAATTACAGAACCGGAGCTGCAAGCAGGAGACGGATCAGAACAAAGGAGGCAGGAAACAGGGCTGGGGGCGGGGCTTAGATGGGAGGACTGTCCTCTGATTGGTCCAGACGTCTCTAAAGTTCTCAGTAACTGATGGTTCTACGAGAACCATCAGATATTAAAGCCTGGTGTTGATGAGGTTCTACATCGGTTGGACACGCTAACTAACACATTAAACCAACATGGCATTTAGCTAAAGCTAACGCTAAAGCGCTAAATTCAGCCATGTTAATGCCGACCATGCGGTTGGCATTAACATGCGGTACATCATCATATTGAGGCGCCACAGCAGACGTAGGAGGTGAGGGTCAGGAGTATTGAACTGGTACTGTGACTGTGATTCTTTTCCCAGTTTAGCCATGGATTCTACTGGTTCAGGTTGAGCTAGCTTGTTTTTGGACCTAGCACACCCAGTTGGGTTCATGTAAAGTTGGAGACAGCCAGCTCAAACCGACCCATGCCTTCTCCCTTTGCATCTTTCTAACCTTATTTATGAAGTATATGAACGTTTATCTCTTTACTTTGTAAAAAGTGTTTGCTGATTGATGGCTGCTATCGATCGCCATCTTCTTTCCTCATCAAAAAATCTGATAAAATGACAAGTTTTTTTGCATCCTTGTCTGTTTATGCAGCCGGTGGCCATTTATACATTAAATCAACTAAATCAAAGCAAAACTAGCCAATGAACTGCCTGTTTTGACTGGCTTTACAGGAATTAATGCTAGTTGTAGATCGTTTTGACGTCCATCATGGCGGACAGGGTTGCTTTCTGAAGAGCGTGACCTGACAAGCAGCAGGTCAATATCAGCATCAACATTCAGTTGCCTTTGTTTCTGGAGGAGGTTGGTTGTGGTTTTTGTTTGGTGACGGTGATCAGAGTTTAACTGAAGCAGAGAAGCAAAGTTAATAACCTGTTTGATTTTTTACAGTGTTGAAAGGAACAGAAAACAAATAATAATATATCAGTAACCAAAGTATTAGTATCGGATGCCAATATCGGCCCAAAGTTTCATATCAGTGCATCTCCAGTCAGAAACATCAAACTGATTTTGACTTCTCCACATCCTGCCTCAGACCGGTTCTGGTTCTGGTTCTGAACAGCTGCCTGTGTTGGTCCTGCAGGTGCGACCAGCTGCCTGGTTCTGATCCTGTTTGCCTCTGAGGTGAAGATCCACCGCCTCTCTGAGCTCATCTCCAACTTCAGGGAGGAGAACTTTGTTTTCCAGACGCACTCGGAGCGCTACGACCGCTGCTTCTGGATCTTCTTCCTCATCCTCATCCTCCACGGACTCAACCTGGTTCTGATCCGGCTCACAGGGATCCAGTTCCCGTTCCAGGGGAAGAAAGACGTGGAGCTGAGCGGCGGCGCGGCCGACCTCATGTACTGATGGACTCACTGTTGACCCGGATCATCATTGATTATTGATCAGAACCTGAATGATTGGGTTGAATCTTGATGATCCGACTGATTCTTTATAAATTCTGTTTATAACGTTTTTTAGAGGAAAATAAACTCGTTCTGACTGAATCTGTTGTTTCTCTCTGGATTTATCGATTCTGCACTGCAAAAACACCAAATATTTTTGTTTAGTTTGTAGTGTAAATACCTGAGTACACATGAACTAAGACAAAAAGAAAAGTAACATTTCATCAAGCCAGCCAGTCTCTGCTGTCCGTGTTTTAAGTCAATAATTCTTTAATACTGATGTTTATAAAAGATGATATTTCACTTATAACGTCGACATTTTTTCCCATTTTAAGTGGAATAATCTGCTGGTGGAACTGGGATTTTGTTGCTAGGTAACCAGCTGGGCGTGGCTGGGGTTGCTAGGTAACCGTATGATGCCCTTTGATTGTGAAAAAAGTGCAATAATCTTGCAATGGAACTATAATTTTCTAATCAATAAGTAATAATTGACTTAAAATAAACTAATTTCTCAGTGAAAAGTTACTTGTAATTTATTTCAAATGTACTGAGACATTTTCACTGGAAACGCGATAAAACATTCTTGGTAAGATTTGGTGTTTTTGCAGTGTAGATAATTGATTGAAGCATTTGGATCCAGGTTCACCTCCCAGTAGAACCTCCTGCTCTCACTAAAACCAAAGGTTCTGTTGATCAACAGATCAGCAGGGATCGGGTATTGATCCGTTGCTCCTACCGGGCCGAACCGTTCTGCCGTCTGAGGGAGTTGGACCGGAGCGGGCTCTGAAGGACCCTGCTGGTTCTTTTCTTTGACCCGTCTGTCCCCTGCAGTGACACCAAACCTGAGCGTCCATCTCCAGACGAAGACACGTTGACAGACCAGAGAGAATCGAACAATCGGGTCTGGCGGCCCGGATCCTCCCGGTTCTGTGGGGGGTTGGTGTCCGGTTCTTTAATTGTGTCTCTCAGCGGGACGGCCAATTAAAGGCCAGGATTTCATCCGAGTGACGGCAGACCGAGACGCAGAGGGACCCCCTCTGATCCAAGAATCAGGAAGATGAAAGTTCTCCAGAATCTGGACGGATTCAAACCCAACTGGTGCAGCACCAGTCAGAGTCGGTCCAGCCAGTCTCTGCTGTCCTGGTGCTGCTGATCAGCAGGACGTCCTGATTAGGAACAAATAGATTTTTTTGCTTCTTAAAGAAAATAAGTGACGGAAGGAACCGAGGAGGCGGCAGAGCTCAGGTAAGATCCTGATCTACCTGAGCAGATCGATCTCTGATTGGTTGATTAGGCTGTTAAAGTCATTTTGCTCCAACTGACGAAGGTTTGAGTATGAGAGGGGATGTTTGCAAAGTTATACAGTTAAAAATGACAAGCAATAAGTTGGGTTATTTAGCCATAACTAAAATTAGAGATTTGTTTTTCAAATTAATATTTTTAGTATGTTAGTTTTTTATTTATACATGTTTCAAGCTAAATATTTAGCCTGGAACTAAACATTTATCAATGTAAAACATTTTTAATTTACAAACTATTCAGTTAGAAAAACATTTTATTAGCAAATTAAATATTTAGCTTGCTAACTAAATATTTAGCTCAAATTAATTAGTTTGTGCAAAATGTTGAAATTGAACATTTATAAACTGAACTAACTACATTCTTAGTTTGGGGATAAATATTAATTTTACAAACTCGATATGTAATCTGTAAACCAAATATGTCACTCAGCTACATTTTTATTTAGTAAACTGTATATTTAGCTTGCCAACTGAGTATTTATGTTGCGAGGTAAATATTTTAAATATTTAGCCAAACATTTAGTAATATCGATGGGTTTGTGTCCACAGATGGAGGCAGAGCTTCAGGACATCCTGGTCCAGGTTTCTGACCTGCAGCAGCGAAGGAAAGTTTTCACTCTGCAGGAACTAAAACACATCTGACCAGTTAAATGACTAACTGTTCTCTTCTTCACCGCCTGACCAGGAATCAGTTTGTTTCTTCCAACAGGCTGCAGTCTGACCACAGCATGGTGAGAGTCTGGGAACAGATTCATTAACTGTTCAGTCACTTCCACACATCAGAGCATCACCGAGATCCTGCCTCAGGTTTTATTTGACCTCTTATGGCTGCTGGTACGCAGCTGATAACAGAAAACTAAGCAACAAACAACTAAAACTAACTGGAAATTTACATATTCAAAGGTTAACAGCAATAATTTAGAATATTTTAGTTTGTCATAAGAGGGAATAATGGGGGTTTGTTTTTCAAAAGTCATAGTTTTACATTCATAAATGTCAGTTTGAAACTCAATATTTAATTAGCATAAACTAAGTTTGAAGCTAAATATTTAGCCTCAAACTAAATATTTAGCCTGCAAACTATTTTGCTTGAAAAGAAATATTTTGATGCTAAATCTTTTGTTAGCAAGCTGAATAGTTGGAAGGCTAAATATGTAGTTTCCGATCTATATAGTTAGTTTGGAGCTAAACATTTAGCTAGCAAACAAAATATTTAGCCTCAAAGTAAATATTTGACTTGCTAACTAAATATTTAGTTTTGAGCGAAATATGTAGCTTAATTGTTGTTTAGTTTGGGACTAAATATTTTGTTTGCAACTTATTTATTTTTGATGTTTATGCATTAATGAGTAACATGATTTTCTGATACGACAGGCTAAATAATCCAAATTAATTCACTGTTATATAGTTAATTTTGGACTCTATAACTCTCCCCCTTCAGGATCCTCCACGGTAAATCAGTTTTGTAAACACCGGACCTGTTGCAGGTTCTGCAAGTCAGTTGGGTCTCGGTTCTAATTGTGGTCTGGAGTCTGGTCTAGGATTGGGCCACTCTGCCCTCTGCTGGTGTAGGCCCTGCACTGCAGCCGGCTCCATTTTCACCTTCCAGGTGATCATGTGTCACTCAGAGAAGATTCAGTTTCACTGCTGCACCAACCTGCTGCTGTTTGCCACAGGTGTGCAGCAGAACCGCAGTCCGTTCTGGATCGGTCGGGTTCAGAGACCAGAACCATGGGGCCCAAACAGAGCTGATGTTTGAGGTTCTGGCTCCGGTTCTGACAGAAGTATTTTGTGGTGATGACGGACTCTGGGTTGGACTACATCGAGCTGCTGCAACACGAAGTCAACAAGAACCCAGATGTGAGTCGGTTACAGAAGCCAACAGTTCCATGATCCTTCAGACCGAAACATTTTGAAACCTCGTTTTTCTTCCTCTCTTCCGTTTTAAGAATTTACATCTTGCAGAACAAGGAAAGGATTTGTTTCAGTTTCTTTTCTGACTCTCGTTTAAAACCTTCGTGTTGTTAAGGAAAATATGAATATTATTTTGACCACATCTTCAGTAAAACGTCTGAGACGACGTTTCCCAACAGTCTCCACTGCGGTCAGTCCAGTCCGTGATCTCTTCTTCCTCAGCCGTGACTCTGGAATGTGGTTTTCCTCTTTCAGGGTGAGAAATCCCTGGACGTCCCAGGAAAAGATATGTACTTGAAGGCCTCAGGTGTTGCTCTGAAATCTGCACTGGCCTGGATGGACGATTCTTTTCTATGGTACAAAATTAGTGCCAAAATTAGGACTATTGCGCATCCAGCAGTGGCTTCTTTAGCACTGGAGGCTATATTAACTCTGATTTAGGATAATGAAAGGCTGGCACTGGGAACTGAGTACTTTTAGCATCAACTTTGGAAAGGCTATTGAATAGCATGTGTAGGCTGATCACCCTATAGGCTGACTACTTCTACACTCACAGAAGAATATTTAAAACTTGGTTAGAAAGTGGGAGACCTTCCCAATGGGCTCCATTCCAGACGGATCTGACCCCCGAGGAGTTGAAGTCTTCATGTAACCTCTTGTGATCAGTTTGTGAACGACGGTTCTTGATGCAGATCACTGCTTCATCCTGCAACTTCCTCCAGATTCCTGGGAGGATTTGTCCTGATTTTCTCCTCTGCAGGACAAATATGCAAACTTGCCATTTTCAAATGCCATGGACATCTTTGGTCCTCAGATACTTTTCTGTTTGCTCTTTCAGGATCTATACTGTTGTGTGTGTTTTTACCTTTAAATGCAGGACTGGATGGATGGAATGGACGAAGTTCAAATGTAGCTGATGACATGAAACAGAAAATATTTTGGCTTCAGAATTCATTATAAAATATAAAGCTACTTTTTTGCCACTTTAGCAGAGAAGTTGTTTTCTGCCTGAATGTTTTGGATGGAATTAATTGGTTTTGTGTCACCAGGATGGTGTTTACTGTGCAGATGTTCATGTTCCTCTCCGTCCTCAGAGGCTGTTGGATGTGGTGAAGGACGAGGACCAGGAGGAGGCCCCTCCACCCTGCAGGACCCTCCTGGCTCCCTGCTCCATCCCCCGGAGCCTGGTGATCTCCCCCAGCCTCGGAGGAACACCGGTCACCCCCCAGCTGACTGAGGTGAACCTGGGAAGAAGCAATGCCGATAGTTAATGGCCTAACAGAGAGAAACAAACACACAGAGAGATCTCCGACTCCCACTGGACTTTCTGTTGCTCCATGGCTGTTGTTCTGTCTTTTGGATTCCCCTCCATGTTTCCCTCATCTTGCTGTCTGATTGGCTACAGACTGCATTCTCATCCGTCCTAAGGGGACTCCACACCCCCAGCAATATCAGGCCAAGACAATCCAATGTGTTGAATACCCCAAACTTTAGATCAGAGCAGTCCAGATAATTCTGAACAATTGGCATAAAAATCATGTGAACTATAACTATAGTAGTTCCAAAACTATAAAACACACAATTGCATGGTTACATTAATCATCTACTATGTTTTTAACTGACCTTTGGCAAGTTGTTCAAATCACTGGGTGCAGCAAAAATGAAACAATGATTGACCTAATGATGGACGAACTCTTGGAACCATGGTTGTGATGAATTAACCAATTAACATCAAATGTAATTGATGTTCCAAGTATTGATGAGTGAGCGAAAGTATGGAGGGGTTTTGCCAGCGATAGTTTTATAGATGATTTTGTACTAATTTATTAACCAGTGTGAATGGAGCAATGGCCAGTTCACAAAAGAGCACAGGTGACATGGTGAGTATTAAAAAGGGGCAGCTGTAACGAAACGAATCGCAGTAATCAGTAGCGCATGGCTGTACCCAAATTCTGTGGAGCTACTTGGTCTTAACGTTTAACTGTCTCCGTCATGAGGGACCACTTGGTGAGCGGCAGCAGGGCTGATCAGGTTCCTCTGTTTTCCCTCAGAGCCTGAGGAGGATCCTCTTTGGGGGAACGTTTCACGTCTTCAACTACGAGTGGAGGAAGTCTTTCTTCCAGTTCAGAGAACCAGACTCCGAGCTGTCGTACATCCTGGAGGCCGACAGAGTGAGGAACCCATGCAGACCAAAGCGTCTTTGGTTGCTCAAAGCTGAAGTTTAGCTGGTTGAACCTGAACTTTTACCAAAACCAACTAATTGTTGTTGACTCAGAAATAAGTTGGATCCAGACCAAAACTCAAACTAGATCCGAGTTCTGTTGAGTTTTGGTCGGTTGGACATGTACAGACACCTTGTTGAGTTGTCTCACCTGCACAGGTGTGTGTTTCAGGGCGGAGCTCGCGCTATTCAGATGGTCATTCAGGCCCGCATCATCAAGTTCCTGCTGTTCAGCCAACCGGGCATCACAGACAGACGGACGGTGCACAGGTGAGGATCTTGTTTGGTGCAATGACACCTTCACCTGTAAACACAAGATCACATGACAAGATCATGACACCTGAACCATGAGTGGCAGCAGAGAGACATCAGATTCATTTTCAATAATAACTCTAGTATCCTAAGAGAAAATAACTTGGTACCCAGACGGGTTTGGCTGGTATCAGAACCAACTCACCAGTTGATGAGCAGAAAGTTATTACACAAAGTCGTCTGCAGAGTTAGCAAAACTCAACAAATCTGTTCCACTTCCTGAATCATACAAACTGTACATACAGGAAGGTGTTTAGTTACAGATCTGACCCTTTTGAGGGTGATATGATATGATATATGTAAGAGCAGGTTATTGCATTGACACACATTGGGTGGCAACATGGTGGAAGTTAGCACTTTAGCATTAGCTTCCACTAAACATCAAGTTGATGTTGCACTTGAGCATCAGCAGAACTAATATTTATGATTAGTGCTTTCGGGTTACCTTAGCTAACTTTTCAGTTAGCACTGCTGGTACCACAGGGTCAGGCTGCATTCACACCAGCCACATTTAGTCCACTTTAATCGAACTCTAGTCCGTTTATCTTGAAAGTCTGATTTGTCTGGGGAGGTTTGAATTCATAATCAAACTCTGGTCCTCCTAAAAACCTCAATCTCGGTTTGATTAAAGAAAGCTCTGGTGCTGTTCCAGTGCATATGAAGCAGAAAGTGGACTACAGAACTGAGTCTACTGGTCTATCAGGTGTGAAAACATCTTCAACGTTCTCTCGGTTACCTTCAGGGTTTCATGCAGAGTGGGAACATTGAACTTTTTCAACTCGTGAAGGTCATTCATAACTTGCTCCTTATCAAGCAACCATGTTCCTCAAAGGACCATTCCAGAGTCGTCTTCTACCAGGGACAAACCGACAGAGTGGTATAAGTCTGGTATAAATTTGGGAGCCACTTCCATTGTGATAAATTCTCCTGGTTTTCTATCAGAAGCCTTGAGGGCTGGTGCTTATCTCCAGCGGTCACTGGGCGAGAGGCAGGGGGACACGAGGACAGGTCACAGCACAATGAGCCAATCATGAATGGCCTTAACCTGGTGGACAGTAATGTCTCTCCACCAGCCTCAGTCAGCTGCAACAGAGGGACCAGGACAAGGCGCTGGCAGCTGCGCTGTCCGACAACCTCTGGTTGGCCGGCCAGGAGGAGCGGGCCACCGTTACCCTGGTAACCGAGGACTACTGCATCACTCCTCACCTGGACTACAAGCTGGACGACTTCACGGAGAAGGTCAGTTCTGCCTCTGCATTCCTCTGTCTGCAGCACCATCCTCCATTTTAACCCTATGTCTGATTCTTCCAGCTGCAGCTGTTCACCTTCAACAGGAAGGACGACGTCTGGAAGTTCATCCTGGACCACATTCAGTGTGTGAGTAGACCCAGAGATCAGCTCTGATGTGTGAACCTGGGTTCTTACAGAATCTAAACCTGGAAGGATTTTTTGGTTGAACTGAGATGAACATCAAGGTTTGGGGAAGCCTATGTTTTAAATCTGTGTTTGCAGTTTAAAGCAGAGGGGAGTCATGGAGTCATCCTGTTCCTGTACAGCCTCATCTGCTCCCGGACAGTCGACAGGTAACGCTCCCAAACCTCCATGTTGTCCAAACAGACACCGTACACCAGCAGGGGGCAGTAAGACCTCTGGTTTGACTCCAGAGCCTTTCTTCTTCCTTCCATCCAGGCTCAGAGACGATCTGAGCTCCAACATCTCCCATCTGCTGCACCTCAGCCTGGGAAACTTTGTGTGTCGACAGGTAAGATTCTCAAATTTTTATTTGTCTTTTTCCATTAAGCAGATTTATTTTCAGAATGTCAATTTGTGCAATTCTGTTGTCAATAGAAATGCAGCTAGTGATTTAGACTGCTTTCATAATTTTATAATTATCATTTTTAACCATTGTTTACGTCCAGATTTACTGCGTCTGACTTCTTAGGTGACCCAGATGAACTTGAACTTGAAAACGACGAGTTTTGTTGTTTTGTTATTCTGGTCAGTTCCAGAATAACAAATTCTGGAACCATGTTGTTCCGGTCTGTTCCTGCTAACTCCCAGTTCTGTTGGACTCCCTGGACTCAGGCCTTGTCAGATAAAGATCCTGAGCAGCAGATGAGTGTTGATGGTGTCTGTATCTCTGCAGGCTCTACTGAACCTGCTGCTGACGGGCCGAGCCAGTCCTCACGTCTTCAACGGGACGCTGCAGTTTGGGGAGGACGGCCAGCCTCTGGAGCGCCCCCTGCTGGGAGTCCTGTCCCGTAGTGATGTGGGTTACCTGCACTGGAGCCGGGAACAGATGGAGCGAGGCGGGTTGCCTCAGGTAGCCAGTTCTTTAACCGACTGTTATGGAAACAACAAACCAAGTTTCACCTGCATGCATCCTCCCAACCTGCAGAGGCAGTATAACGTTATTCTGAGACACATTTGGGCCAGGGGGGCTATGCAGACAGCTAGCGATTCCTAATGAAGCTTCTCCGCCTGTCCAACTAATCTGATGGGAATGTCATGAACAAGACGGGAAGTGAGACACAGAGGCTAAATAAAACACATCCGCTTTGAGGGAACATACAAACTAAAACCTTTCACTCATAAAAAAGCAGAGTACTTACCCTAGGGTTAGGATGACCTACCCTGCGTTCAGATCGTGTCTGAAGGACAGCAGAACCCAGACCTGCAGCTGAAGATCCTCATTTCATTTTGTCCCATTGTGTCAGAATCAGAATCAGCCTTATGTCATCGTACAGAAGCAACAACAAAAATACAAACAATATAAGACGTTAGTAGACGGGTAGACAGGTTAGTAGACGGGTAGACAGGTTAGTAGACGGGTAGACAGGTTAGTAGACGGGTAGACAGGTTAGTAGACGCGAGCCTCATAATGCAGCCATCATGGGAGCGCTGCCCTTTTGTCAGATGAGAAAAAAGTTTCAAAAGTTGAAAATTTACATGACAAAAACTCTGAAATTTTAGATTATTCTGAAAAATGTTACAGAATAAGATTAAATATTTTGAATTTTCGGAAAATTTCTGAGTTTCAAAAGCCAACATTTTTTAACTTTTGAAACTCAGAAAATTTCCAAGTTTTTTCTGAAAAAAATTCTAAGAGTCGTCTCAAAATTTCAGAGTTTTTTTCTTTTGGCTGAAATGTTCTCATTTTCTTTCTGTGAAGGCTGCAATACGCCGTCGTGTGACGTGTTCAGTTGTTCGTTTTAAGGTGAAAAACTGATTCATATTCGAGTCTGAATTCTTTCAGATGTTCCCCGTTTAGTTTCTCGTTGTTCCTGCAGGTGGGCAGCATGCTGAAGACCCCCCGGTTCCCAGTCTGGGTCTGCTGCATCAACAGCAGCTACTCGGTTCTGTTCAGCCTGAACCGGTCCCTGCTGTCCGACTGGAGGATGGAGCACCAGTTCCAGCTCTTCTACTGCAACGGCCAGAACTCCCAGAGATCCACGGCACGCCTCACCGTAGGTGAGCGCCGCCGCCCCTCATTCAGCTCCTGTAAGCCGCTTCAGGTCCAAAAAGGTTCTGGTTCTCCTGCAGATACTCACTCCCACCACTGGGAGGCGCCGCCCGCAGAGGCAGACCCGGAGAAACGGTTCCCGTCACTGGAGATGACCATCAGGACGAAGTGGGACGGCGCCGCCATCGACTGGAACGGGACCGACCCGTTCTACTGACCATAAAACAAGGCGGGCTATGGCTCCCCCTGCTGGTGGAGACATGGATATAAAATTTGTACGAATTATTTTAAACTGAATATAAATAAAATTAATATTTTGATGCTTTAATCTGAGCCAAAGACAAATTCTCCTTTGTGTTCTGAACCAAAACAGTTGAAATCTCCAAATCTGCTTCTAATCATCTTAAAGCTGAACTGACCCCACCCCCAAATGCTAGACTAGTAAAGTGGGCGGAGCCAAGACAAATTAAAATATTACTTATTGAAACTGTCAGTATGTTATGAGAGTTATGAGAGAGATAAAGTGTGAAAAGATCCATCTTCACCTCCTCCCAATTAGCGTCTGAAGAAATGGACCAAAAACAACCAATCAGAGCCAAGAGGGGGGGCTTGGTGCTGTTAATCAACCTCAGGTACTCCCTGCTAAATGTGCTAATGGTGGAGAAACAATTTACTGCTACAGAAAAACTGTCATCTGTGTATGCTAACGAACTTTAGCGTTCACAACATGCATTGCTAGCTGAAATGTAGCAGAGAGCAAACTGAGGAAGTGATTAACAGCGCTAAGCCCCGCCTCCTGGATGTAATTGGTTGTTTCTAGTTAGCACTGGGAGAAGGCAAAGGAGCTTTATTTTTTTTTTCAGATTATCTGTCTGAAATTCTGTCACATGTTGACAGTATTTTTTATAAAATGACGTACTACAGTTTACCTGCAAGAAAAGCTGAGTTTAGGGCTGCACAGTGGCGCAGTTGGTAGAGTTGTTGCCTTGCAGCAAGAAGGTTCTGGGTTCAATACCTGTGGAGTTTGCATGTTCTCCCTCTGCATGGTGGGTTTTCTCCAGGTACTCTGGTTTCCTTCCACAGTCCAAAAACATGTCAGGTTAATTGGCCTCTCCAAATTGCCCCCATGTGTGAGTGTGTGTGTGCATGGTTGTTTGTCTCTGTGTTGCCTGGCAACCTGTCCAGGTGACCCCGCCTCTCGCCCAGAACGATGGCTGGAGAGGCACCAGCAACCCTCCCGACCCCACCAAAGGACAAGGGTGTAAAGAAAATGGATGGATGGATGAAAAGCTGGGTTTATTTTCTCTGTTTTCAACTTCAACATTTTCTCCATTTGAGAGTCCAAGAATTTTGAGAGTCCATTAATCTTCAAATAAACAACAATAAAATGTTCTTAACCACACGGGTCAGGTCGCTGTAGACGGGANAGCGNTTCCTCTACCAGGCAGTTCAAACACTGTCCCGGAGTCCGGTCCGGTTCACTCCGGTTCGGGTCTCACACCATCCCGCTCCACTGCAGCGAGGTGTAGCGGACCGGGCCGTCCGGCGCCGGCGAACACAGCAGAACCGTCTTCTTGACATTGGAGCCGAGCCGGGCCACACAGAGGACGTCCAGCAGGCAGATGGACTCGTCCAGCGCCAGGCACACGGCGATGAAGTGGGCGTGGAAACGCAGCGGGTCACCTGAGGACGAGGGGGCGGAGTCAGCTGGAGGTCAGTGGGGTCAAACGGAGGTCGGGCGCTCAGGCTCACCTGGATACACCAGGAAGTCTCCGCCAAACTTCCCTGCAGACGTCAGGAAGAAGCCCCGCCCCCGCAGGTCCCTGAACACCTGGAACCTGGCCTCCCGGCGGGGGCAGTGCTGCGCTCTGATTGGCCAGTCGGCCTCCAGGAAGGCACGGGCTTCCGGACAGTGGCTAAGCCCCGCCCTCGCTGTGCTCAGCTGCACCGCCAGCGCCGAGCGCGGGAAGCTGAAGTTCTGCTCCAGATCCAGTAGGCGGCGCTGCAGGACCTCGTCTGAGCCTGGATCAGAACCTGCATCAGAACCAGCACCGTTAGAGCGCAGCAGGAAAAAAACGTCGCCATAGTAACGCACCTACCTGATGATGATGTCATAGCTCGAACCAACGCCGACTTCCTGTCCTCCAGAGCGAGGACGCTCTGCTCCTCAAAGCTCCTCTGCTGCTCCTCTGCATAATGCTGCTGCAGCTCCCCGCCAGCTACTTCCTGATGACAAAACAAACGCACCCTCAGCAGAAACCCCGCCGCTTCCTGATGACAACAAAACAAACGCACCCTCAGCAGAAACCCCGCCGCTTCCTGATAACAAAACAAACGCACCCTCAGCAGAAACCGCATCACTTCCTGATGACAACAAAACAAACGCACCCTCAGTAGACACACCTCTGCATCCTGACAACAATGATGAAGCAAACGCACCTTAGTGACTTTCGTCCGAAGCCCCGCCATTTCAGAAGGTGCAGTTTATACATCTAAAGACATCTTTTTGATACAAATGACCTGTTCTGTTTCCTCATCTTGGTTCTGACCCAGTGGTTACTTAGAACCTCTGACCCGGCCTGTTTGCTGACCTGGTTCCGGGCGGGCAGAGCGGCGGCGCCGCGGCGTTCTCCCAGAAGCCTCTCCTCCTCCGGCAGCAGTAGCAGCGGCCGGCCCAGTCGGATGTTTTGCCGGGGGGTTCTGGGCAGCGACCCGAGCAGCGCCCCCACCAGGCCTTCGGACCTCACGGCCTTCAAGTCCTGGAGCCGCCACAGGAGGGGGGCGGAGTCACAGAGACTCAGCCCGACGACAGGGGCGTGGCTCAGTTCCTCCTGAGGCCGCAGCTCCGCCTCCATCTACAGAAACCAACCAATCAGGAACAAGAACAGAAACCAGGAGTTAGACTGACCCTGTGATTGGTGGATTCATGTCCATCATGATGGATGGATGATGACCAACAAGGTTTTTACTCTTGTTATTTTTTAACTTTCAGACAGTAACCTTGGCAATCTGTTGTTGCCACGGTTACTGTCTGAAAGTTAAAAAATAAAAAAAGAGTAAAAGCAAGTCTTTCTGGATCGGTCACTGAAGAGTCTTTTGGGATGTTCATCCTGAATTTAAACATGTATTTATTTAACTTTACTTTCTAATTTTAATGATCAGTTTGAATTTTATTTTTGTATTTCTTTATCAGGAATTTAACTTTGTTTTGCAACATTATTGTAAACTAACAAAACAGTAAAGCTATTATTTAAAGCAGTTAAAAAATGGCTTAACTTAAACTAACTTAAACTTATTTAAATTAATTTCGGTCTTTATTTTTTATGGAAACTTTTCCCATAATTTTTTCAGTAAAAAGGAAAAGAGATTCTGCCCGATCTGGTTCCGGTTCCGGTCCAGGAAAACTAACTTTATGGTAAGATAAGGTTGTGGCTTTACGGTCCGGAAATGTTCTGGATCTCCAGGTGTTTGGACCAGTCAGGTTCCTTCCAGGTTCTGTTCATATGAAGAACCGGTTCGGTGTGAACTCATGAACTCTGACAAGATCTACTTCATCATTACTGCCAGATGGTTCGGAACCAGAATCTGTACCAACAGCTGACATTACAAACCGTTAACCAGAACTGGTTTCTTACCTCCACGTGTTTCCAACGCTTCACGACGTGCCGTAAACTGCTCCAGCTGTAGTTCCTCTCTGCTGCCGTTAAGCCTCCGTTCCGAACCACAGCTCCCGGTACCGGTACCAGAACAGCATCGTTTAGCAGCGCAGGAAGTGTCTGTAACGATCAATACAAAACACGTAGAGAGGGTCCGCTCGTTCACAGCCAGCCGGCGGAGAGGGAGGAGTGTTTGAGGCAAACACGTTTGCTGGTGGGAGGAGTTCAAAAACGGCCAATCAGAGCGATCCGCGTTGATGACGTCACGACAATCCTTTGATTGCATCTTCCTATTGGTTGAAAATACAGCCAATAGGAGCAAAGTGAGGCTGAACAGGCAGCAAAATGAACCACTTAGATCAGCATTTCTCCACCCTGGTCCTCACCGCCCCTCTGCTCTGCATGTTTTAGATGTGCCTCTATTCCAGAACAGCTGATTCAAGTACTGCAGAAGCCTGTCAATCACCCAGAGATACAATTCAGGTGTGTGACAGAAGGGAAACGCCTAAAACATGCAGGACAGGGGGGAGGTGAGGACCAGGGTTGAGAAACACTGAGTTAGATGCTGATAATTATTTTTTAAGAAGAGTTTGACAGGTGAAGGCCAAAAAACAAGATAAGGGATACTAAAGTCATAAAAAACATTCCAGAAGGAAAAATGAAACCTGGACGAAAACTGGAAAACTTCCAATACTCCAGCTGTTCTGGTGATGTGATGGACCCAAAGCCAGGTCCGATCCAGGGTCAGAGGTCATGACTCCACATTAAAGACAATGAGCTTTAGAACAGGCTTTTATTGTGAAACACTGTACAGATGAGGCAGCCTCACCGCCTACTGCCTACGTTTCCCAGAATGCCGCTGTCGCTCAGCAAACCTAAACAACCAAGCCCCGCCCCCCAATCCAGTCCCGTTTCTGTCCAATCAGCCGCTGCTCCTGGCCGTGTCAGAGTGAAGCATGCTGGGAAGGCATCCTACGGCTTGACCTGCAGCGCCTGCAGCTCCTTCAGCAGCTGCTCCTCCTTCTGGATCTTCTCCACCTGCAGCAGACAGACAGAGCAGCGTTCTTTAAAGGTCAGAGGTCACCATACTGGTCTGAATGTTACTCAGTATGCAGACAATATTCTGCTCTGTTTATGGATCCGTCACCTGGTTCTTCTGCAAAACTTTCCCAGACGCCTGCTGCTCCTTCAGCTCCTCGATGGCTCTCAGTTTCTGACAGAGTAATCATTTATGTCACAGATTAGATTAGAAGGTTTTAATCTCCTGATGTTTGATTTCCAGGCAGCAGATCTCATAGCGGTCCCATTTCCTCTCACCTTGTTTAAGTTCTTGATCTTCTTGTCCATCTCCGGGTCTCCGCTGCCGCTGCTCACCTCTGATTGGCTGTGGCTCACAGGTGCAGGAGCAGATTGAGGTTCAGGGTCAGGTTTGGCCTCCTGCATCGAGATTTAAGGAGTTATCACAGATAATCAGAGACGGAGCAGCAGGACCAGGACACCTTCGCACCAATCGACTGTTTACACTTCCGATATCTGAGGTTTGGCATCGGCTGATCTGATACAGAAAAACAGCTGAACTGCTATGTTACTGTAAAGACGCATTAAAATTCATTAAAAGTATTAATTTTGCATTAAAAGTGTTACTATTTACCAAATGACACTTCATTCATGTGCCGCACTCGGGACATCCCTGAATTAAACTGAGTAGATCCGCTCTTATAGATCTAGAACAGGGGTGGGCAATCCTGGTCCTGGAGGGCCGGTCTCCTCCAGCTCTTAATGTCTCCCTGGTCCAACACATTTGAATCCAACAGCTGAATCACCTCCCAAGTGCAGTCAGGTTCTCCAGAGTCCTGCTAACGACCTCATTATTTGACTCAGGTGTGTTGAAGCAGAGATGCATCTAAAAGCTGCTGGAGGCCCTCCAGGCCTGGAGCTGCCCACCCCTAATCTAGAACATTGCCACGGATACCTG